AGGGTTAAGGGAGAAAGTACCTCTGGGCTCTGTGTCTCTGAACCAACTTTCTTTCAAGAGAGTTTACCAAAAATGAGCTAATCTTGTCCAAACAGATAATACTTTGCAGCATACATGCTCGTATGGCTACAGTATCTCCTAATTAAAGGAATGGAGGATCACCAAGGTTGGAAATGCCCCTTTAAATTGGTCTAGAATGATTTTTAACAGTATTCAGCTGTATTAAAATCTAAATTAGTCTTATCAAACATATCAAATCCAAGAACTCATTGTAAATGTCAAATTTTTCTTAGACACAATTTTAATCACACATGCTGTCACCAGAGGATCCAGCCATTGGCACTCCTTGATATTTACCTCTCAGTAGAAATATGTATCCCCATGAAGATATATACATGTATTTCTGGAGTAGTTTCACTTATGATTGGGAAGATGAATGAGTAATGGTGGTACATTCACAGAGTGGAAAAATAACTTAGAGATATAAAGAAATGAGCATGGGAAATAGCTTAGTGAGGAAGGGCATTCTTAGTGTGCACACAACCCTGAGTTCAATGCCAAGAGAGCTGGGGAGAACTATAAGGCTACAAAGACACAGAGGAAACTTAGGTGCATATTTTAAGCGGAAGGAGTCTGTCTAAAAAGTCTTACATTGTATGCATTAGTCAGGGTTCTCCAGAAAAAAAAAAACAGCCAGTATGGTATATGTGTAAACATTTATTATAGGAAACCTGATCATATGGATATGGAGACTGGGGAGTTTAATATTTTCAGTCAGCAAGCTGGGGACTTGGGAGAGCCAGTGGTGCTGTTCTACCTCACATGCAAGACTGAAGAGAGGAGACTTAGTGCTAGCTTGAAGACAGACAGTCTAAGGCAGAGAACTAACTGTTGCTCAGTCTTCTTTCTCTATCCAGGCTTTTGAGACTTTGAGTGAAGTCCAGCAAAGCCTCCAGAAGTGCCTTCCAGATATAATCAAGTTATGTTCAATCAGGTGTCTGGTACCATGCAGCCAGTCCAAGTTGACACATGGGATTAACTATGCCATATGATTCTAACTGTGTGGAAAAGCAAACCATGATGATATTAAAAAGATCAGGGTTTGCAAGATTCTTAGGTATGGAGAAAAAGATGAATAGAATCAACTTGGTTTTCTGCTTTTTGTTTTTAAGCACGGTAAAACTATTTTACATGATGCTATGATAGTGGGTATGTGATATTTTGTATTTGTCAAAATCCATAGAATGTACAACCTCCAAAGGTGAACTCTAACATAAACTCTAAACTTTAGTTATTAATATTGTATTAATATTGCTTTCTCAATTGTAAACAATACACTAAACTAAAGTAGGAAGTTAGCAATAGAGAAATGGAGAAGAAAACAGAATTTATGAGACAACATGTATCTTGTGGGGTTTTTTTTGGGAGGTCTGTTTTTATTTTCTGGTTCTTGCACGCTAGACAGGCACTCTATCACTGAGTTATGGCCCCAGTCCTCTATAAAAAAAATGTTTTTTTAGAGACAAGGTCTCATTTCATTACCTAAGTTGGCTTTGAACTCACTGTGTAGCCCAGGGGGGTATGAACTTGATATATTCCTGCCTCAGCCTTCCAAAGTGCTGCTATTACAAGATTGTGCCATTGCACCCACCTAAAGCATTTTAAAACTGGAAAAAAAGCCCTAAAGTTATTCATGTTTAGTAGAAAATGTCACCAAATAGAAACTCAAACCTCTGGAGGAAATGAAGTATGTTGGTGTTAATAACATGTGAATAAATGTAAAATATTATATTTTCTTTATTTTAATGGCTCCTCTTACTGATTTTGTTAGTCAACATGATACCACCCCAAGGCTAGTTAATATGAGAGAAAAATGCAAATTAAGTTTTCGAAAGTAGTCAATAATTTATATTTTATCATTTAAAAGTCCATTTATCCTAATTAAGTTGAATCATGAGATTTCACCAATAAGTTATAAAAGAAAAATAATTGGATAAAATAATTCTTGCCATTGATCTGAGTTTAGAGTAATTTAGTCTATCCTCTTCTAGCCACCAAGGGTGAGGGTCTCTCATGTCTACAGGAGAGAGCTCTTTAATAGATCCACGTGTCCTTTAAGCTCCTCTACCTCCACCTGTTGCGATACTCTTGGGAATCCACAACAGCTTTCAAGCTAAAAGCATGAGAACATCCTTGTAGACGAAAGCTGCTCGTTTGTTTCCTGGCAGCCCAGACCCAAAATAATCACACAGAAACTGTATTATTATAATACTGCTTGGCCTATTAGCTCATACTTCTTACTGGCTAGCTCTTGTGTCTTAAATCAACCCATTTCTATTAATCTGGGTATCACCACATGGTTGTGGTCTACTGGTAAGGTTCCATCAGGCATCTCGTGTCTCCTTGACTCTGTCTACTCTCTCTCTACATCTCTGTTTGGATTTCCTGCATGTCTTTACTCTGTTAAGCCATTGGCTGAAAGCAGCTTCTTTATTAACCAGTGGCAATAAAACATAATCACAGCATACATCATCTCCCATGTCACATCTACAGCCAATGAGGAAGAGGGAGGGGTGGCGGGGCTAGGAATGTAAGGCATATGGTGGTGCAGTGCTTGGATTCAGATTCGAGTGTATCCCAGTGTCTGTGATGTGGTAGGCAGAGGGGTGAGGGGATGAGCCATCTTGTGCTTTCCCAGGGTCCCTGGGGCTTCTGTGCTGAGAATGGCAGGTGGGTCAGCAAAGGCACGTTCCTGGTCCATTTCTTCTGCTGAAAGTGCTTCCTCCTGACACCTGCACCTTCAGCCCACTGTTGTCAGGGCTTGATTCTAAGTTACTCAGCTTCAAATAAATATTGACTCAGACTCTCTTAAGTAAAAAGTGTTTCATGTTCTCTGGGATTTTATTTAACTCCCTCCCACTAGATTCCATTGCAGTAGAGTTGCTAAGTTTTGGAGGAGTCACATTGTCTTAGTTTTCCATGTTTTTTACATGACTGCATTGGGGTTTACACATCTGGTACCACTTCTTTGCTTGGTTTATTTCTTTTCTTTATCATATATATTCTATCTGTTAAAGTTATCTCCCAGATTCGTGTGGGAATTGGATGTGTTGAATACGTAGTTCACAAAATAATTTCTAAGAACAAAAACTTTTAGTGCCCGGTGTAAGATCTATGCTATTCCCTGAGTAGGATATGAACTGGGATGGCAACAACAGCTGTTTGATGGCATCCCTGTGCAATTGTCACAGTAGCCAATTAGTAACCGTAGCCCCTTGGGCTTCAGCTTGTCAGAGGACAAACAACCAAGAACAGTGTGGAGTATAGGCAGATATTAGCTAATGAAATTACAAGTGAGAGAACAGTATGGTGGATAAGGGTAAGGATTAAGTATAAGACTGATTTTGAACACAGCTCAAAGGATAAGCGCACATACTACTCTTTGGGAAGAACAATATTTGCTCAGATTCTAGCATCCACATTGGGCAACTCACAACCACCTTTAATTCACCAGCACTCATGTGCACAAACTCCTATAAAGTCATATATGCATATACTCAAAATCAAAATTCTTAAAAATTTTTAAAGAAAAACAGGGTGGGTAAAAATAGGGATTAACTATTAGATCAATTTTGAAAACATAAATATGAAGGTGAGAAGGAAGCTAGGAGGGGAAAATGGAGATACAGCTAGAGTGTACAGACTTACAGACCAAAAAGAGCCCTGGAAGGTGATAATTGAGAAGCAAGAGAAAGGGATAAGAATGGGGTAAAGGAAGAAAAATATACGAATAAGAGGGGGGTGTATGAAATGCGACTGAAGAGTGTAGTAAAGAATGCCTTGCAATAAACTGGTGAAGAATCATAAACAATGGTCCTAATCCCAGCTGAACACTATAGAGACAAGAGCAAAACCATCATGAGATAAATGCTAGGGCGGAAATCAAATAATAGAAAAGAGGATAAGGAGAATAGTTATGGGGGGAAGTGCAGGCACAGCTGTGCTGGGTTGAAAGGTGAACTCAGATCTCTCAGGTCCTCCTTGGTGCTGTGTAGCAGAGAGGAAAATGGGAGCCATTTGTCTCTGTAGCTTTGGTATCCTTGGCATTCTCGGAGGCTGATGGGGTAGGAAGCCTGGTCCCTGCTGTGTTTTTTGGGTCAGTGGAGCGAGAAACCTGGTCCCTGCTGTGTTCTCTGGTCACTGGAGAGGGACTTATAGGCCCTCTTGTGTTTTCTAGTCAGTGGAGTGGGAAGCCTGGTCCCTGCTGAGTTCTTTTGGGATGCTGGAGTGGGAAGCCTGGTCCTTGCTATGTTCTCTGGTCACACTGGAATGGGAAGTCTAAGCCTAGTTTCTATAGCTCCACCACAAGGGAAGGCCTGCTCCCACACAGCAAACTTCCTTCCTAATAAGCAAACAGCCTTGTTCTTTGGAGAGAGATCCTTTCACTATGACCTGAGACTGATCAACTAGGCAAGATAGGAGAGGGATCTGCCTCCCTCTTCCCTCCCTTCAACCCTCAAAGTTGACATTCTCAGTGTATGCCGCCATTCCTGGCTTTTTATGTTGATGCTGAAGATCAAAATCAGGTTCCCATTGTGCGACCAGCACTAAATAATCTGAGTTTTTAATGTTTCTGTAGTTCTTTGGAGTGTTTTCTCACATCCAAGAGGTATGTAATTTTTTTAACATAGCCGTCTGCCAGGCAGTTGGTAGGATGTTCATCTTCATCCTGAAGAGAGGCATTGGGTAATATGACCTTAACCCTTTCAGGGGCTTGATTTCACCATCAAATTTATACTCATTACAATGAAATCTCTATATTTGAGGCTGGAGAGGTGGTTGGGTAGTTAAGAGCACCCACTCTTGCAGATAACCTGGCTTCAGTTTGTAGCACCCCTGTGGTGGCTCACAGTCACCCCTAACTCCAGTTCTTGGGATCTGACACCCTCCTCGGACCTCTGAGGGATAGTATCCAGCACACCTGTGGTGTACATACATACCTGAAGGTAGAGGAAGCTGGGGAGGAGAACTGGCAGTTAGCAGTAGTAGAAGCTGGATCCTGAGAGCAGAAGGGAGAGGAAAATGAGGAACCACCCTGGCCTTTAAGCACTAATGAAGTGTGACTGTAGCTTTGGAGAGTCAATCAAGTCAAAATTAACCCCTGGAGATGTGCCTTATCCCCAGGTCCACCACTATTTCTTCTTTAGAACAGGTGAACTAGAACCACTTGGTCATTGGTTGGGAGCAGCCAGGAGGGTGGGGCTTCCAAATGCAGCCTGGCCAATGCAGGACAGGACTTCTTCGTAGTTAGCCAATGCAAGGGCAGGCCTTCTCTGTAGTTAGTCAGTGCAGGGACAGGCCTTCTTTGTAGTTAGTCAGTGCAGGGACAGGCCTTCTTTGTAGTTAGTCAGTGCAAGGGAAGGCTTTCTTTGTAGTCAACCTCTCTGGAGCCAAGAGGTAAGCAGGAGAGAAGTGAGAAGCCCTGAAGTGTTCTACGTATTAAGACTGTGGCCTACTTGTGTGCCAACTCCTTGGGCCATTTTAACATAGACTACAAAGCTGTCACACTTACTGTGCCTCATATGTCACAGCATTGTGCTATTCTGATGAGCCTGAGAGCTTCTCTATAGTCTAGCAAAATTGCCCCTTGCCAGAGGAAATGTCCTTTGATTTATGAAGTCCTTGATTGAATCCATTACTTCACAATCATGAGTTAAATACCTGGGGTAAAGTCAGAGCTTCAAGGACAAACCAAACACCTTAGTCCCTGTCCTTAAAATCGGTATTAGCATGGACGTTTGGTAATGTCCGTAATTTCTCTTCTAGAATTTGAAGGCTTGGGACCTCAAACATCAATCTTTCTGGTGGTGAGTTTGAAAACTTACATTATGTTTTTGTAAGAAATAAAATAGGTAATTTGAGATTCCCGTCTGTATGCTTTGAATATGTTTTATTACCATTGGTTAATAAATAAGCTGCTTTGGCCTATGGCAGGGCAGAAAAAAGCCAGGTTGGATGGGGGGGGGGAGAGAGAGAGAGAGAAGAGTGAAGGAGATGCCATGTAGCTGCCAAAGGAGAAAGACATGGAAACCTTACTAGTAGGCCATAGCCTCATGGCGATATATATAGATTAATAGAAATGGGTTAATTTAAGATGTAAGAGTTAGGTAGAAATAAACCTAATTTATATAGTTTCTGTGTGATTATTTGCATTTGGGAGGCCAGGAAACGAACAAGCAGTCTCCATTTACAAATGGGAAAGCCAAGGGACCCAGGAGATGCTTAATTCTGTAAATTGCTTTTCAGAGAAGCATGAGGACTTGTGTCACTGTAAGCACCTGTCCAAGATGCCAGGACTAGCAATGTGTACCTGTAATTCTAGTGCTGGGGAAGTAGAGGCAGAAGCATCCTGGAGCTCACTGGTCAGCCTATCTAGCCAGACTGTGACATCCAGGTTTGATGAGAGAACCTGTCTCAACAAAACAAAACAAAACAAAACACCTAACATCTATTATTGACACACATACACACAAGCACACATACAGATACACACATACATGTGCACACATGTGGCTACACACACATACATATGCATGTGCACGCGCACACATACACACACACACACACACACACACACACACACAAAGCTAGTTGTGTGTAATGACACAGGACCACAGGCCTTTAATCCTGATACTCAGGAAGCTGAGGCAGGAGGATCATGAATTCAAGACCAGTTATTTATCAAGACATCGTCTCTAATGCCCCAAAGGTGAAGTAAAGTGAAAGGCTCCCATGGAGCACACATTCAAAGTTTTGAGATTTTTTTTCTTACTGAACACAGCCTTCAAGAGTGTGATCTGACTGTCAGTTCTGAGTGTTGGGGCCCTCAGAAGCCCTCTCCAAACTGTGGACCACTCAGACTCCAATTCCATTCCCTGGATTCCAATTTAATTTTCTGCCAAGTTTGATGGGAACTTCAATAATAACATTTACATCCTTCTTGTGAAGTCCTGCTCTGCCTGGTTGAAACTCTGTTCAGATTTTGATTAATTTTAGCCTTCATTTTCTTCTGTGTACTGTCATGGTGGGATTAGTTATTTCTGGGGGCCCCAGTGCTAATACTGGCAACGCAATCAGTGAATGTCCCTGGAGCCCTGGAATGGAGCACTGTTTCCCCATGGCCTGTTCCTCAAGGGCTGTATTTGCCATCAGAGGTGGAAAGTTCTTTACCAGATTTATACACAAGCGATCCCAAGTCCCGCAGAAGGCAGTGAGTTCTGTAAATCTTGATAAAACGTTACACACATTTCTACCCTGGAGTCGTAAATATCCTCAACACTTCCTCAACATCACCTACTCTTGGGGAAAATCCCAGCTTCACTCTCAAGATTGCTTCTTGTTGGTAGAAAATGTCTTTCACTAGTTATTAGCTCCTGCTAATCAAGGTCAACTTTTATTCCATTTAATATCAAAAGAGATATATTTATGGACCGGGAAGATGGTACAGTAGGTGAAAGCACTTGTTTTTCAAGTACGAGGGCTGGAGCTTAAATCCCAGCAACCAAATTAAAACTGTTTGTGGCTGTGTGTGTCTCTAAGGCCAGAATTATAGTATTAATAATAATATTAATTAGTATTAACATTAATTATATTACATTATTATTGTGTTATAAATAAATAAATGTGAAGAGACATAGAGATACCTCATATCCTGCTCTGACTCCTGCATGTGCATGCACAAGTTTATGGACATGTACATTTGTGCATATGCACCTCACACATGCAGTTTACATGCCACATGCAAATACATACCTTAAAAAGAGGGTGTTTTCTTCAACGTAGAAACTGAGGTCAAGTGTTCTGAATGCTATAGGATCTCAGTAATTCTCCCATGTGTCAGACACTTGGTGAGAAGTACAAATGAAACAGAACCGGAGGAAGCTTCCTTCCTGTAAATGGGTCATACATTAATCATCCTGAGTGGTGAACTTCAGTCCTAGACAAATTACTTCTCCCCATGCAGCCTAAGGACACACTCACAACAGGCTCAAACAGCAGTGGGCTCCATCCAATTAGTTTAGGGAACTAGCCTCTGCCTCCACTTCTCCTTTAGAGATCTTTTTACTTATTACACATTTCACTTATGTTAGATGTCATCAAAGATTGGAACACGAGCTTTGGTGACTTCTACTTTCATAAGTAGGTGACTTTAGGTCAGACCAATTTTCGCTTAGCCACAATTGTATTTTGTATTACCCTATAGGGATCATCTGTGATGCCTGACAGTTTAACTCAGACTTTGGTCTTTGAGCAGTGGCTAGGAGTGAGAATATTGTTGTGCACTGTTATGGACCCTGTCTTTAAATGCTTACAGATTCAGGACTGCTAAGCTTGACACTGAGAAATACAATTGCCCTTTCATAAGTAGGGACACTGAGGTCACAGAAGGAGAGGGGCCAGCACACACCAACAGACCAGCCACTGAGAATTGCCCAGAGAAAATTCCCCTGAGGAGAGAGGTAGATGAGGTGTTTCCACAAGTATCATGCAACACCTGCTTTTGAAGCAGTCACAGCCTACTCATCCTGCATCACCCTACGATCTACCTGAGACCGCCAAACATGAAAGAACTTTCTAGCTGGTGCAGTCGTGTATCAGAGCACGAAGAAAACTCAAAAGATGAGCAACAAGGAAAGGCATGGCCCCATCTATATCTACCTTCCAAGCCTCTGCATATCTCCTAAGGCCATTGATTCCTGGGACACGAGAGCTTCAAGAGTGGTAGCCTATCCATCCTTCATGTGGAATCAATAGATGTCAAGTCTAGAAGGGACCAATGGAATGGGGCGAGTCAGTTGCATATGGGGAGACCTTTAGGTTAGAGATAGGCTAAGTCTGATGTGATTTTCAGTTGTGAAAGGTGCTGTGAAGTACTCTTGGTACCTACAACACTATAGCAACACTGTCTGAGTCTTACACCCCAACACATACTCTTTTGGAACAGCTTGTCTTAGGTCTACCAAGATAGGATGGTTACCTTTCATTAGCAACTTGTCATAACCTAGAATTACTGAAGAAAAATTCTAAATGACAGATTATCTATATCAGGTTGACCTGTGTGCATGATTTTAGGGGTGTGTCTTAGTTAAGTCAATTTGATATGAAAAGACCCAGCCCAGTATGGGTGACATCATTCCCTAGGCAGTGGGTTCTCAACTCTGTGAGAGTGGGAAAATTGAGCTAAACACCAGCAAACAAAGCAAGTGAGCAAGTGTGCATCCATTTCTTTCTCGTTTTGACTCAGGATGTGATGTGAGTAGATGTTCAATGTTTCCGCCTTGACTTTCCCACAATGATGGACTGTAACCTGGAACTGTAGAGCAGAAATAAACGTTTTCTCCCCTAATTTGCCTTTGTCAGTGTTTTATCACAGCAGCAGAGATGAAACTAGAACACAGGAATTGTTGGCTTTTGTTCCTTTCTACCTGGCAGATAGGACTGTGCATATTTACAACATATGACCTGCTATGTAAAGAGCTATTCATTGTTTCTATAACATAAAGATTAATGGATCAGCGAGAAAAACTTATCAATTTTCATCTGTCATCACTTTTTGAAAGTCCTGCCCCTCCCATTAACACCTCCTAAAATCTAAAGGAAGCTGGCTTCGTATGCTTATACTGGAGAATCCCGTTCACTCACCGGTGTCTAATACTTCTAGAAGAACAGTTATTTGTTAGGTAGTTGTAGAAATCTACAGCTTGTCAAATGGAACTTACAGGGATGATGTTCTCTGAACCATGACACACAGATCTCTAAGTAGATTGCAGCATGACATACCACTATCAAGTAATTCTCATCCTCCTGGTGGAAGTAGGGGAGGGGCCCAGGTCTCAGATTCCGTAGGTCAGTCTCAGAGAAGGAAGTCTCCCAGAAAAAGAGGCAAAGGATAAATGACTGGTAGCCACCCATTGGCTACTTTCCTCAAAGAAAAAGAAAATGAAAGCAAGCACCAAGACAGAGAGAAGACACTGATGTTAAGAGAATAGGGGCATCTTTGGGGGAAATGGAAATCTTTCGTTGGCACAGACTAGTGATGGCCCTGTTGGGAGATGATTTTATTCTGAGCTCTTCAGTGGGAGCCTTGTCTGGAATTCAGGGCAACCCCGTGTTATTAAATGACCCTCACTACACAATTTTGTTATGGAAGACCTGAATTATTCCTAGTAACTTTCATGGTTTTTCCACTACTTTTAAACCACTCTTACTTTTAAAAACTGTGCTTATAGAGACCCCATGGTAGAGCAGTGGAAGAAACGGAGGCTTCGGAAATCGATCTGAGTTTAAAAGCTACTGTCAGTCACATAAAGTGCTTTGGAGATGTGGCTCATCAGTGGAAGTTAGAGACCACATGTGCCCTTCTCAGAGAGTGAGTGCCAGTTCTGGGAGATGATCCAATGGGAATGTTCCAGGTACATAGTTAGGCCTTCGTCCCTGCTCATCTGCCACACCTTCCGCATCTTCTAAGATTCTTCCAGAAGCATGCACAGGCCTTGGTCTCTATGCATGAAGCCTAGGTGATGGTAACTGTGCCATGCCACTCCTTCCGGGAAGTCAAACTTTATCTGAGCCTATTTGTTTTCACTTTGTATTGTCTGCTTGCTGTTCTGGCAGCCCACTGACATCCAGATGTTTATTTTATAGTGCTTCCCTTCTTTCAGTCTTAACCAGGAAGGCTAAAACTCTTGTCAGATAGATATTTAGGTAACTACATTTGTAAGTGAGAATTGATGGAAGACATTTATGACTAGGAGGACCATATTGTGAGTTGCTTTCTTTCTCAGAGCCGGGAGGTGCCTTTTGGCAAAGTAAATTTAAGAAGACACTTTCAAATGTTTTGGTGGATTCAGTGCTGGATGCGTGTGGCTGTAGATGAAGAAAATTGTCTGAGGATGGGAGTCAGGGTGAAATTTTACTGCTGAATGAACTGTTTGTATACTGTTGACCACACGGGACTGGAGATGAGTGCAAAGGGGACTCAGAGGTGCTGGTGCTCCTGTGAATTGATGTCAGCCCCTCCTTCCTCCGGCAGAATCACATCCTCTGCTTTTGTCATAAATTGCTATATGCTGTAGTTTGCATCTCAAAATTATCTCCCAAAGTCCCAGATGTTAAAGCTTTGCACAGTAGTATGATGCTATGGGAAGGTGATGGAAGCTTCAAGTTATAAAGACTAGTGAGAGGCTAGAGAGATGGTTCAGTGGTTAAAAGCACTGTCTGTTTTTCCAGAGGTCCTGAGTTCAATTCCCAGCAACCAAATGGTGGCTCACAACCATCTGTGATAAGATCTGGAACCCTCTTCTGACCTGAAGGCATATATGCAGACAGAACAGTATATACCTAATAAATAAATAAATCTTTAAAAAAAATAAAATAAAGACTAGCAAGAGGCCTTGGGCATTGGGTGCCTTTGAAGAGAAATTGTTTCTCTCTCTCTCTCTCTCTCTCTCTCTCTCACACACACACACACACACACACACACACACACACACACGCACTTCTGACCATGAAATGACTGTTCACTATGCTATCTTGTCTTAAAGGATGGGATCAATTAACCATGAACTCAAACCTCTGAAACCACAAACCAAACCTTCTCTAGGTGTTTATTAGAACAGTGGAAAGCTGGCTAATGCAGCACACACTGTGAGAGGCACACTCTAATCTGGATGCTCTATAACCATTACAGCACTTTCTCCTTTCAACAAAAGTAGGAGGTTGCTAATTTAATATGCTTAATAAATTATTCATTTATTTATAGTGTGGTTGAAGAAACAAAACTATGCCTACTGTAAGTGGCAACCATAACCACGAATGAATAGCTCCAAAGCCTGCCTTCATTCCATAACAATATAAACCTGAAACCTAGCCATGAACGGGGTTGCCTGTACTGATGTCTCACTGGAAGGAAAACACCTATCATGGTTAATACTGTCACTTGAGAGGATCTAGAATCATGGAAGAGACAAATGTCTGGGCCTGTCTGTGAGAAGTCATCCAGACTAGGTTAACTAAGGTAGGAAGAGCCGCTCTACATTTGGTTCCATCCATGGGCTGGGGTCTCAAACTACATAAAAAGAAAAAAGCAAGCCAAACACAAGCATTCATTCTTTTCTGCTCATTGCATGTGGGTATCATATGATCAGCTGCATCTGGCTCCTGCAACCATGGCTTCCCCACCATGATGGACTATGTCATTGAATTGCACTCAATAGCCACTCACAACTCCCTCACTGTTGTCTCAATTCACCATTCAGACTTATGCTGTTGACTTTGAGCCATAAGCATTATAGAGATCACCTAATTCAAAGATCCACCACCATGAGGATCTTTTGTCTGCACACAGTTTCAAGATGCAGACCCATGGCTTCATAAATCATTCCAATCCACACCAGGGCAGGTCTCATCAATAATTATAATGTCTGTGGCCACCTTTATTATTTTTACAAGCTCTAATATCTCACCACCCTGGCCTAATGAAGAAGTCCATTGTAATCACGAGGGAAGGAAGCAAGAATTATTTAATCCCTTTACTCTGTTCATTGCCAGAAGCTGACAGTATGCATTCCATATTGTCCGTCTCTGTTATTCTGAGCCAGCATCTATGGTATAATCCCAGCCTCTCTCCCATGACTGTGTAAGAGATGTGCTCTGCGTAAAACCACCCTACTCTTCCAGGCGCGAGCTGCCTTTTACCTCATCTACTCAAAAACATTATTCCAACTAATCTCCTTTGTCTCACCTCCACTATTGATTTCCTGCTCTCTGCTGGAACATTGTGTCTGCATACAAATAAGCTCCTCTATATGTGTGCTTCAAAAAAAATTCTCGCTAGACCCTACACCAGGGCCCAGCTAGTTCCTTG